GGAGGACCTTATTAATGCTAAAGACACTATCGATGAGCCACACACAATTCGAACAGGTTGTAGATTTTTATGAAGTTCATTTATTGGCTTATCTAACCTCTCTTTTTGTGTGTGCACTGGAGGGTGAACCCCCTGTCTTGCATGTGCTAGGCTTTCTCTCTGCCCTGAGTTATAAATCCCAATTTAACATTTGTGCTTGGTGCTTTAGCGTCATATCTAAGAATCTATTTATTTTTGCCCCAGGTTGTAAGGATTTGTAAGGATTTTCTTTCCTTTCTTTCTTTTTTCTTTTGAGTTAGGGTCTCACTATGTAGCCCTGACTGTCATGGAACTCACTATATAGACCAGGCTGGCCTGAAATCACAGAGATCCACCTGCCTCTGCATCCTGAGTGCTGAGATTAAAGGTGTGTGCCACCATGCTCAGATAAGGATATTTTTTTATTTCTTTTTCTTCTGAAAGTTTTTTAACTTTGTGTTTACATTAGGGTGTATGTAACATTTTGCTTAACTTTTGGGTAAGGAACAAAGTAGACTGAAACCCCTTCCTTTTTGTCTACGAATATGCCAACACCCACTGAACTGCTTGCTGGACGGTGTGGCGCGTGCGCTGGTCAGTAACGCTTTTTGCAAGTCCAGCGGCCACATTTGTGTGAGCTTACCTCTTTCCTAGTCCCACGGACCTCTGTGCGTCTTCCTCCGCCTGTACAGACTGCCCTGACCACTTAGGTTTACATAAAATTCCCAGGTATATTATGAGCTGGACCTGCTGGTGCACACCTTTAGTCCCAGCACTCAGGAGGCAGAGGCAGGCGAACTCTGTGGTCTATCTAGGGATACACGGGGAGATCCTGTCTCAAAAAAAAATGTTAATGAGGGCTAGGAGGTGTGGCTTACGGCAAAGCGCCTGCCTGGCACACTTGCAGCCATGTAGTGTCAATGTTTAGCACTACTCCCTGCTATCAAGACTGTTCGTCTTTTTTTTTTTTCTTTCTGTGTCAGCATTGTTTGGGTTGTGGCTTTGCGCTTAGACACCAACATTCTAGTCAGCTTATTCGTATCCGTAAAAGTTCCTTCTGGGCTGGGCTGGAGAGATGGCTCAGAGGTTAAGAGCACTGGCTGCTCTTCCAAAGGTCCTGAGTTCAATTTCCAGCAACCACAGGGTGGCTCACAACCGTCTATAGTGAGATCTGGTGCCCTCTTCTGGCGTGCAAACAGAACACTATACATAATAAATAATAAAAACAACAACAACAAAACCCCAACTTCCTTCAGGGCTGTTGGCTGGAGCTGCAGTCAGCCTATAGGTCATTGTAGGCTGCTGGGGTGAAGCTCGCTGCTCATGGGCTTGGAGTGCCCCAAGTCTTGAGACACTTTTGATCTCTTCCATCAGTATATTTCAGTTTTTAGCGTATACATGTTTTTGTAGATTAATACCACATATGTAACTTACTGGTAGCTGCTTACTTACAGTTTATTTATTTACAGTTGTAATGTAAATAGCTACCATTGTAAATGTTATGACTTTTAAAATGTTGGCTTTTAACCATTCATTTCTAGTGCATTTTTTTCAGATTATTTTTATTTATGTGTGTCTGTATGTCAGTATGTGCATGTGTGTGTGGGAGGTCAGAAGAGGGCATCAGATCCCCTACAGTTAGAGTCACAGGAAGGTACCCTATGTGGGTGATGGGAACCAAATTCTGGTCCTGAGTTATACCCCAAAGAGCAATATGATTTTTTTTTTTTTTTTGAGAGCGGGTCTCACAATATAACCCTGGCTGGCCTAGAACTTGTTGTGTAGACCAGACTGGCCTTGAACTCATAGAGATCCCATGCTTCAAGAGCAGCATTAATTTTCGAGTACTAAGCCATTGCCCTGGCCAACTACAGGGTCTGTGGGACTTTCTGCTTCAGCCTAGTGTCCTGCTTTTCTAAGCTCGCTCATGAACACTTCAGACTGTCTGAGAGGAAACATGGGATTTCTACAGACGGTCATGTTGTCTATCAGCAGGGACAGTTTTATACATACCTACACACACACATGCAGACACATGCACACACACATATTTCTTTCTAAACTAGTGGTTCTCAACCTTCCTTACACTATGATCTTTTAATACAGTTCCTCATGTTGTGGTGACCTCCAACCACAAAATTATTATGTAGTAACTGTAATTTTGCTACTGTTATGAATTGTAATGTGAACTTCCAATACATAGAATATCTAATTTGTGATTCCAAAGGGGTCATGACCCACAGGTTGAGAACCACCACTAAATTGAGGTTAGAGTCTAAACTGAGTTTAGAGTGTATGTCCTTATTTTATCAGTCCTTTGGCCAGGACTGATAGAATGGGGTTGAAGAGGGAGAAATGGAGTGGCTATCTTTACCTTGTTCTTGGCCATGAATCTAAGCATCCAAGCTTGTGTTTCGAGACAGTGTCATGTAGCCTAGACTGGCCCCAAACTCAGTATGTCACTGAGGATGACCTTGAGCTTGAGCCCCGGACCCTCACGCCTCCACTTCCCAAGTGCTGGGGTTACAGGCATGTGCTACCGTGCCTGGCCTTTGGCCGTTATTAAATTTCGTGATAATTGTGGGTTTTGTTGTTGATTGCTGTAGGCTCTCTGTATTAGATGTAGGAACTAGGTACATTTTCTCTGTTTCTGGTTCATTGATGGCTGCAGACTTTTGCTGAATCATTTGATAGGATCATATGATTTCTTTTTCTTTTCTGAGACAAGGTTTTACTACATAGCCTTGGCTGGCCTGGAACTTGACATGTAGACCAGACTGACCACAAACTCATAGCAATCCACCTGCCTCTGCCTCTCAAGTACTGGTATTGAAGGTGTGCACCAAACCCTACTGTTTTTTTTTTTTCCTGTTAGTATAGACCATATTGCTTTTTTTTCCCCCACATTCTGCACCAGCCTTACTCCTGTCCGACCTGTATTTGTTTTGTGTATTTCTGTACTGCTTGACCATCTGCTCGTGAGTTTCAGTATTATTCTGTGCTGGGCCGCGTTGATTTTCTTCCTCTCATGGGTCAGGATGCTTGGTTCTTTGGATGAAGCACAGTTTGTGACTATACCCTGCGCATTTCCATGTTGTGCTCTGAGGCTGGGCGGTTGAATCCCACCCAGAGATCTGATGGAGTACAGCTGTGGCTGGGGTAAGGCGCGACTCAGGAGGCTCTGTGGGTCATAGTGGGCTAGAACCTGCAAACCTGGAATTGTCTTCCGGACCTACATTGTATGGGCTACCCTGGGCTGTTGTGACCATTCTCTCTTGGTCTCACTCTAGACCCGGGACAACAGGTGCATGCCCTATGCTCTCCTCTCCGACATTTTTTATTTAGAAAAATATTGTGCTATAAGGTACTAGTCTTGGCCATTCTCCTGCTTCAGTCCTGAGAGCTGATCTGTAGGTATGGCCACAGTGCTCACTTTCCCTGCCTTTTGCTTATGGACAACACCTCAGAGCTTTCTGGGTGTAGCTGTGTGGACTCGCCTCAGGTCAGAAATGGTTTTGGATCCTGTAACACACTGCTGGAAGCAACACAGTTTGCTTGTGTGGTGGTATAGGCGTAAGTCCCGCAGGCTAGAGTCAAGGCTGCTTCTCTCTGAGGCCTGTAGAGTCCATGTGCTGACTGACTGGGCTTCTAGAGTCCCTTTTCCCACAGGTTCAAGGACGCTGGCGTGGGACACAGAGCACTGAGGCAAGCTTGCAGGTTTTAGGTGAGGGCTGGGCTCACCATGGCTGAGAGTAAGGAGGAGAGGGCAGAGGGAAGAAACAGACCAGGACTGACACAGGCTGCCCATCCCTCTCCTCCCAGCCTTGCTTGACTCTGCCAGGGGTGTTCTCCTCCCAGGCCCAGGGCTCCGAAGTGCTACCTCCTTACTGGGTCTGACCTCCATGCTGAGTCTGGCGTTGGTGTCCGGGCCTCTGATCCCTGAGGCTGAGGAGATATAAACCGTCCATTGCTAGGTGTAGGTAGCTCTTCCAGGGCAAAGGAGAGCTTTGGGGTCCCGTTGCACTCCTTACTGGCTCTTCCCTACTCTTCTCTCCTGATGGGCATCGTGGAAGCATATCCCCACACCAGGAGGGTGGCCCTCTATGGCCCGATAGTCTAGCTTCCAAGGGTCACCAGAACAGCATCCATCACCTACTCATACTTGGCCACCGTGCCCCAATGTCTTGTTGAGGATGCTGACGGGTGCTGAGGAGACCCCAGCTCCACCCCTTCAGGTCCCCTCAGCTCCCTTGTCCTCAGTGCTTGCCAGAGGGAAACCTCAGCTCTGGGGAAGAAGTGTAGGCAACCAGTAAGCCTCCCTGTTGTCTTCCTCTGGTGACAGGGCAGCCCTGCTATACGGATGGCGGACTAAGAATGGGGCGCTTAGCGAGAGAAGTCTAAGCCTAGAACCTTGTTCTCCCTCTCTGATGCGCTCCCATCTGGTCCTTCTACTGACTGAGAGCCTCACAGCTGGATTTCTCCCATAGGATATAAAACTCTAGTGCTAGGATCTAGGCCCTAGCTCGTGTGTCCGTGCAGGACACTGCTGAGATCTGGCCAGGAGGTATAACTGCGGCTAGCGGGCACTTAGCCCCGCCCTTACGTCCAGCCACCTCCGCGGTTCTGGGTCCAGCCTGTGTAGCAGGTGAGCTGGCTGTCAGGGTCTGAACTTGGAGATCGACAGTGAAATTTCATGGTGTGAGGGCTGATGAGACCTGTTTGACGATTTTTGCTGTGTGTTGAGGCCAAGTGGACAGACCACGGGCTCTGGGGTGGATGCCAGGTTGTCCGGCACCTAGTGCCACCTGCCCTGGGCGCAGGAGCTGCGCAGAGCTGTCGCCATGGCAACCCGTACTACGCAACAGCCTTAGGTCCTTGGACCTCTCTTGGCTGGGGTCTGGGCGTCCCGGGGGCGCGGGGCGGGGCCTCGGCCGGAGGCGGTGCCCGCGGCTGAGGGGCGGAGCGCAGCACCCAGCGCCTGGGCCCGGCGCGGAGGCTCGGCGGGGCCGGCCGGCGCGCTGCATCTGGCCGGCAGGGTAAGCGCGGGACGCGAACGGCGGGGCAGCAGGAGGCGGGCGGCTGGGCCGAGCAGGTCGGCGGAGGTGGGCGGTAGGCGGCGGCTGCAGCGGCAGCAGTAGCGGCTGCCAGTGGGCCTGTACCGCCCCCGCCCCCAGGCTGCAGGCCGTGGGATGGGCAGGGGCAGCTGCATGGCGGCGGGATCAGGCCCAGGCCCCACTGGGGAAACCTTTAGTGGGAAAAGACAAACTGAAACGCAATCTGCTGGGAGCCTGTAGACCCTCCTCCACGGGGTCGAGGAGGAGAGGATCCTCCTTTGCCTTAGCCTCTCCTTTGGAGGTACCAAGGGGCTAGGAGTCCTTGCAAAGCATGAGGGAGAGGCAGGCATTTTAGGGCTTGGAGGCCCTGAATCTCTGTGTGAGGTTTGAACAGTGGGCAGGGTTGCTTGGGATGGGCGTTTGTGACTGGCGTGGGAGACTCAGGGCAGGTGGACCTGGGCTGGGTCCCTGGGAACATGGCTAGGGCAGAGTGTGGGGGAGGGGACGCCAGTCTTGGGTTCTGGCTTCCTGAAGGCCAGGTACTCCTCTCCTAGGGATTGGGGTCTGTCCCATTACCAGCTCAGAGCCTTTTGCTCATGGCATTTGGCATTTGACAGTGACTGATCTAGGGAGCGATGGTGTGCAGATAATGGGGAGGAAGGTTAGCTAGCAGCAGGCTATTCGGCCTGGACAATTGCTAAGAGGAAGGAAATTCAGTGTTTGGCTGTAGCCAAAGGAGGGAGTTCCAGGTGGGCAGGGCCTAGCTGTGCGTCCTGGGGGAGGAGGACCTACCAGCGGGAATGAAAATGGATCCCTAACCTGGGAAGTGTGTGGATCCTTGGAGCCCTGGTGTGGGCAGATGACTCCCCAAACACCCCATTGCAGCTCCGGTGTAGCGGTGAGAACCCCAGTGGAGGGGGCAGAAGCTGAGATGAGGCAGGGGCCGTTGTGGAGTTTGAGGGTCACTGTGGTGTCACCAGGAGCAGGCTGGATGCATCCCTGTCATGGTGACAATAAATTTTATGTCTTTGTCTAGACAGGACAGTAAACAGAGCCCTCGTGCCAGGTACTGTGGAGGGGAGCGGAGAGGCCTGATTGGAAGTGACTTTGGGCTGGGTGGATGAAGGCTGCCGGAAGTGTGAACAGGCCAGATCAGCACCCACAATCTGGCCATCACATCTGAGTACCACAGACATGACAGCCAGTGCCAGGAACATAGGAGGAGACTAAATCCTGCCGACAGCGCTCCTGAGATTGGCCTTGAAGGTGCAGAGAAGCCTGTGGCCGAAGCCCACCGGCGACCAGAGGTGCTGGAAGTGCGAGTGTGCTGGGCCAGAGAGAGGGTGTAGGAGGTGTGGTCAGGAGGAAAACACTTCCCAGGGCGAGGGCTAGCAGCGGTGGGTTAGGGAAGAGAATGGTCTGCTCTGCCCTCAGGAGAGCGGAGAGACAGTGTGGATGGAGGAAAGGGGCCGTCGGTGGTGCAAAGCCGTCATAGGGAGGCGCGAGGGGACTTGTGAGATGGATAATTGAGGATTTGAATGACTGTCCATCTAGGATCGGAAAACTTGCTCAGTGCCTTGTCCCCAGGGTGTGACCTGGGTTTCCAAGTCTCCCTGTGCGTTGAGTACAGCGCAACACCAGGAAAGGGTGCCCAGAACCTCTAAAGAAGCGGCTTAAAGCCGGCGGCCCTGGACCACAAGGACGTTGTGTGGTTCAGGCTGCCAGAGCCAGGAGAGACGGAGGCGTGGGCCCAGCCGGGACAGATCACCAGGGCATTTAGAATGCGAGTGGCGGCGGGGAGAAACCACTTCCGTTCCATTTCCTTCCTGGCGGTGGCGGGAATGAGATCGGTCCCTCAGGTGGGGCTGCAGCGCCCTCTGGAGGCCCCGTCTCCGGGCTCCGGGCTCCGGGTCTCGGGTGCTAGCAGTGGCGTGTGCGTGCGTCCGAGAGGCCCTCCCGCACTCGGCGTGGGGACAGCACCTCGCGCAGGAAACAGCCAGGCCTGGGAAGGCTGCCGGGTGCCTCGGTGCCGCTCGACACCACAATCTGACTTGTCTTTGGTCTTTCCCAGGTTCCGAGCTCGCCGGCCGGCAGCGCGCTCCGGGCAGCTGTACGAGCCCCGCGCCCCGCTGCGCAGCACCATGCCGGAGGGTTGAGCCTGGGGGCCGCTGCTCTCCAGGACCCAGCAGGACCTGGTCCCTGCCCGGCGTTGGGACTGTGAGCGCCAGGGCCGAGCCCGGGCCGCTGACCATGGTGCTGCCGCCTCCGGACCGGCGCCACGTGTGCCTGACCACGCTGGTGATTATGGGCAGTATGGCCGTCATGGACGCGTACCTGGTGGAGCAGAACCAGGGTCCGCGCAAGATCGGTGTGTGCATCATCGTGTTGGTAGGCGATGTGTGCTTCCTGCTGGTGCTGCGCTACGTTGCCGTGTGGGTGGGGGCCGAGGTGCGCACGGCCAAGCGTGGCTACGCCATGATCCTCTGGTTCCTCTATATCTTCGTGCTGGAGATCAAGCTGTATTTCATCTTTCAGAACTACAAGGCGGCGCGGCGCGGAGCGGCCGACCCAGTGGCTCGGAAGGCGCTCACGCTGCTGCTGTCTGTATGTGTGCCGGGCTTGTTCCTGTTGCTCGTGGCACTGGACCGCATGGAGTACGTGCGCACCTTCCGGAAGCGCGAGGACCTGCGCGGCCGCCTCTTCTGGGTGGCTTTAGACCTGCTGGATCTGCTAGACATGCAGGCCAACCTGTGGGAGCCGCCGCGCACTGGGCTGCCCCTGTGGGCCGAAGGCCTCACCTTTTTCTATTGCTACATGCTGTTGCTGGTGTTGCCCTGCGTGGCGCTCAGCGAGGTCAGCATGCAAGGGGAGCACATTGCGCCGCAGAAGATGATGCTGTACCCGGTGCTCAGCCTCGCCACTGTCAACGTGGTAGCCGTGCTGGCCCGTGCCGCCAACATGGCGCTCTTCCGCGATAGCCGAGTCTCCGCCATCTTCGTAGGCAAGAACGTGGTGGCGCTGGCCACCAAGGCCTGCACGTTCCTCGAGTACCGTCGTCAGGTTCGCGACTTTCCACCGCCTGCGCTTGCCCTTGAGCTGCAGCCACCGCCTTCCCAGCGCAACTCGGTGCCGCCTCCTCCACCACTGCATGGCCCGCCGGTGCGCCCCCACGGGCCCTCACCCACTCGTGACGCTTTGGACACGTGACAGGCCCCCCGCGGGCCGCACAGACGCTGGACTAGCTGCGCGCGGTTTGCATGGGATGGGATGGGGCAGGCTCCCCTTAGGAACAGGTGTTGTGAGTGCAGTGCCTGGGGTGTCTGGGGCCGCGTTTGCTTCTTCATCTCAGGAATCTCTCGGAGCACGGACACTCAGCCTCCACGCCACTAGCTCACCTCGATGCACAGGGCAGCTGGTGAAGCCTGGTCTCAAGTGGAGATGGTTCAAGCCCTGCCTGCTGCTGGGCCACCGGGGTGGGAAGGGAGGGCAGTGTTTCAGGAGATCTGGACCTATGGTAGGGGCCTCTGCTCAGAGTTTGGGGCCAAGGAGGCCTCTGTCATTTTAAAGACTTGTGTTTACAGTTTTGTACCCAAAGCCTGGCTGTTCTTGTTTCATGAGTTCCCGCCTGGGCAGAGTGGCAAGGACTGCTGAGTGCTGGCGGCTGTGGGGCAGCCAGGGACCACTGGAGCAAACGGTGTGTCTGGGTCTCTTCTCCAGGTGGTTCTCAGTAGTCCCTGGGTGGGCTCCATTGTCGCCCTGTGTCAGAAACACCCTCTCTTCTCCCACCTCACTGTGCCTGTCCCCACAGAGGTATCTCAACCCCCTACTCCCAATCCACCTCACAGTTGTCCAGGCCTCTTGCCGCTGCCCTTCCCAACTCAGGTTCCATCCCCTTCCTGTGCAAACTCCCTCTGCCTATGGGTGGCTTGGGCTCATGGCTGCCAGTATCAATGGGATCAGGTGCCAGCTTTGTTCCCGAGCTCAAGCTGCATGCAGCCTCAGCCAGAAGAGCAGTCTGGCCTCCTGTCACCCGGGCCTGGCCCTGCCCCAGTGCGCCAGCCTTGAAGTCTGTCTGCAGGTGGCCACTCCCTGGCCTCCACCCTGCGTCTGTGCTGACTGAACGCATCAGGCCTCGGGGTGTCTCTCTCTGACATCTGGGGCTTTATGAAGCTGTGAGGAGCCCTGCCCGTGAGGGGAGATGGTTACGTATATTCCTGGCCTGGCATCTGCAGTGCCACACAGCCCTGTGGCTTGCCAGGCCTGTGTTCACTGCATTGCCCAATCCTCGCATTCGTCTCCCCTGAAGCAAGGGTCTGTGCCCCTGTGACCCAGAGCAGGGCATTTGCAGTCCAGTCTATGACTGCTTGTAGACAGGTACGGTTCCAGCTGTGCACAGTAGGGCAGTTTCATTCCTGTGCCCACCTCTGGATGCACCGACTGCTCCCCCCCCACCCAGAGAGCTGTTTCTCTGAGTCTGGATCTCGAGAGTCCCCTGTTTTGCAAGCAGCTGTCATTGGAGGTCGTTTTCCCCAGGGGCACAGGGACTACGCACGGCTATACCCCTGACCTGGTAGAATGTGGCAGTGCCCCTCTGCCTTCCATACTGGGCTTTGTCTCCACATCTGACCACATCCTCTCCAGTGCCTGATGGGCACCCTGAAAGCCTTGGCTCTGGGTTCCACATTCCCAAGACACTGCAACCCACCAACAAGACGCAGACAGTGAAGGCCTATGACACAGGACAGTGACCATGGGTGGCTGCAAGAATTCCCCAGCTAATGGGCAGACCCTGGCTGTCCTTGGCTCTGTGCAGTCTTGGGTGGGGAGCTCAGTAAAGGAGGCCCAAGGGGTGAGCTCTGATTCCGAGTGTCTGGGATGTTGTCTTTGTCCTTCTCTTGCTGAAGCCAGGGCCATCCTATCTTGCTGCTCTCTTGTCTCTGTGTTTTCATTTGCTAAAGGGTCAGATTCATCTAGTTGCATCTAGCCACCCCTTCTCCCTCTTGAGGTAGCCTGTGTGGCCAGATGTAGTAGAGGAGAGAGCTAGGGCACCCTCCATCCTCATCAATTCATCCCTGCTTCATACATTCTGGTGCTAGTCTGCTGACCTTAACCTGAGGCCCTTAAGAGGACTGGGTATGATCGGCATCTTGGAGGAACATTGGGCAGAGCTGGTCCTTAGGACATGAAAAGAAGTTTGGATTTGGGCCTTCAAACAGCAGGTGTCCCAGGGCTGTGAGTGGTGGCTTATGTGATTAGCATCAGGAAAGGTCACTGTGTGAGGCTGAGGAATAGCTGGTCACGGGAACCCCTACTGGATACCTCACGTGACGTGTTGGGCTAGGAAGTGGATTACTGCCAAAGGGCAGGGAGCTGGTTAGTGAACAGACTTGGGAGTTACCATGTGAGGTCAACTGCCGTGGGGGACTCTTCCCGGGCTCTAGCCCAAAGTTTGGAGGAGTGGAGCGTCACAACATGCTCACTGTCGGGATCCTGAAGTGGATTTCGTGTCTGTTTCAGAAAAGCATTCTGAGGCTGCATGCAGCATGAGACATGAGAAGCATGAGACATAATGGGTCAAAGGCTAAGCCCTCAGGGTACTTTAGATGGTGGACCAGCCAGCAAAGGAGGCCCAAGAAGGGACAGGGGCCGTGGCTTGGCACTGGAGGGCATGGTGAGTTGGGTGTTGCTGAAAATGCCCATACGGGTTGGGGAGAGAAATGCTCCCTGAGTGCTTGGGCAGAAGAGTGAGGATGAACAGACAGCATGGGCAGCCAGCTCATCAGACCATTGGTGGGGAGCGGAGGAAGAGAAATGGCCAGCAGGGCTGCCAGGGCTGGGCCCCTCTGAGGAACCAACCTACCTCTGATGTCTTCAAGAGCACATCCACTCTGTCCACCTTCTTCTCCCAGGCAACACCATAAGCTGTTTCTCCTGTCTGGATATATTAACCACCTATGCCCATACTCCAGAGTGGGACCTACTGTGTGCCCAGCTTGTACTGTCCAAGCTTACTGAAGTGCCAAGATCTGAGATCTTAACCAGAGTCCAGACAGGTCTTGGGACCTGGAGCCTAGTCTCATGGTGGTCAAGACTAGTTCCCTGGAGACATGGCTCAGTGGTTAGAGCACTGGCTGTTCTTCCGAAGGTTCTGAGTTCAACTCCCAGAAACCACATGGCTCACCACCATCTATAATGAGATCTGGTGCCCTCTTCTGGCGTGCAGAAATGCATGCAGGGGAAATAATAATAAATAAATAAAATAAATAATAAATAAATCTTAAAAAGAAAAGATTTGGGCCTCCCCACGGCCCAAATGCTGGGATCTGAACTTGTTCTCTGTGAGAGCAGCAAATATGCTCAACCCTCTCGGCTTTCTCAGCTGTAAGCGTTTGAGAGGAGGGTCTACCACAATGAATACTGGCTCCAAACTCCTGGGCTCCAGGGCTGTTCCTGCCCAGCCTTCTGGGCAGCTGAGAAAGCAGTGCCCCCGTCCTGAGTTGCAGAGTTTGTTTGTTAGTTGGCTTACTGATACAGGGTCTCATGCGCCCCAGGCCGACCTTGACTGCACTGTGTAGCTGAGGGTGATGGTCCTGGCCTCCTCTCCCTCCTGCACCTACCTTCCCAGAGCTGGGATGATAGACATGAACACTGTGCTGAGTGAAACCGAGGCTTCCTGCACGGTAGGCAACTGAACTTCAGTTCCGTGTTTTAAAAAGGCAGAGCTGGAATTTTCTCCTTTTGGCAAAACCATAGAATAACCCTTGTCCTTTTTCTGGTTCAGGTGAGAGGGTTGCATGCATTAGATCTCTTGGCTCTCTCTTACTCTTGTCAGGTGTTCGTAAGGGGTGATGGCAGCATCAAGGACTGCTGTCTGTTGTGGTGTGCCAAGCCCCGGGCAAACCTCCAAGATCTCAGTGTTGTTGACGCCATATTAAATTTTGAGGAGGTAGGCTCTGGCGAGTTGGGTTGGGCAGCCCCTTGCTGGCCCTCACTGTCTCCCTGAGGCTGAACCTGTGGGCGAGAGGAAGCTTTACCCTCAGGCTGTGTCAGCTGCCTGCTAGATGAGGAAATACTGCATCTTGGATTCAGGACTCAATGCTTTCTCCGCTACCTTGGCACTATGGCAAGCTTTCAAAGTCAAATCCCAGACATGAGCAAGCACGGGAGCCGTATAGAGGTACACATCTCTAAAGGAATTGAAGGAGCTAGTTCAGGTTTTGGGTCCCCTTGATTCCCTTGATTCTGAAGAGGGAGGGGCACTTAGGAATACCTCTTCTATCTTTGCCTATTTTGATACTGTTTTGGAGTGACAGTGGGACAGGGCCAGACTGCCCTTTCCAGTCTGATCCCATCACAGGGAAACGTCTAGACCTGTGATCATTCACCTTACCCTCTAAAACAAGCTAACATTTGCTGTGAAAAAATTTGGTCTCAAAACAAAAATGAAACCCAAATTCATCAAAAATCAAGCCCACTTACCTTAGTAGGTGATCAGATTTCTCTCAGCAAAGAAACTATGAGAAACACCAACCAATGGCCCTCAGAAAAGCTATCTACTCTTTTGACTTTTAGATGGGCTACCTGGCCTCTGAGGAGCTCCTTTGCTAATAGTCCAGGACAAATCAGGAAGTGGCAGAAAAGGAGGGGGGCAGGGAACTAACTTCATGGTAAGACATAAGTAACTTCTTTTGTGAAAATGAGAAATAAAGGTGCTCAAGGAGCTCTGTAGCTCTGCCTGTATGTAGCAAGTGTATGCCAAACCTGTAGGTTAGTGGGAATTCTCTGCTGGCAGGACTGTGCCTGGTGCTGGACCCATCAAGAAGCCCAGACCTTGGAAGGATGCAGAAAGAGGACAGGGGATTATTGGAGAGGAGACAGGGCAGAATGCAGGAGGCAGAGACTGAGGGGGCCTGGTCAGAACTGGCCTACAGGGCTGTGTCAGTCAGGGTCACCATTGCTGTGGTAAACACATGACTAAAGCAACTTGGGAGGAAAGGGTTTCCCCTTCCACATCACTGTTCATCGGAGAAGGAAGTCAGGACAGGAACTCAAAACAGGGCAGGAACCTGGACACAGAAGCTGATACAGAGGGCATGGAGGGGTGCTGCTTACTGGCTTGCTCAGCCTGCTTTCTTATAGAACTGAGGACCACCAGCCCAGGGATGGCCCCAGCACAATGGACAGGCTCTCTCCCATCAATCACTAATTAAGAAAATGCTGCATAGGCTTGCATACAGCCAGATCTCGAGGCATTTTCTTTCTTTCTTTCTTTCTTTCTTTCTTTCTTTCTTTCTTTCTTTCTTTCTTTCTTTCTTTCTTCCTTCCTTCCTTCCTTCCTTCCTTCCTTCCTTCCTTCCTTCCTTCCTTCCTTCCTTCCTTCTTTCTTTCTTTCTTTCTTTCTTTCTTTCTTTCTTTCTTTCTTAATAGGGTTTCTTTGTGTAGACTTGGCTATCCTGGACTCACTTTGTAGACCAGGCTGGCCTCAAACTCACAGAGATCCGCCTGCCTCTGCCTCCTGGAGTGCTGGGATTACATGCGCCACCACAACTGTCGAGAGGTAACTTTTTTTGTTGATAAACTTCCCAGC